GCACCCCACTCTTTGCCTCTGTCTCTCCTTCCCTCTCTTTCTCTCTCCCTCTTTCCCCCTCCTCTCTCCCTCTCCCTTCCTCCCTCCCTCTTTGCCTCCCTTCCTCTCTCCCACTCCCTCCCTCTCTCTCTTTCTCTCCCTCCCTCTTCCCCACCCCAAAAATCTGAAGAGGAGAGTTTGCAGGTGGGGGGGAAGGGAAATTCCAGGGCTGGTCCTTCCAAAGTGAGAGGACGATGAACAGGTCGCACGAAATGATGAGCGTGATTTCGTTCACCCAAAAGGCTAACCAAGGCAGAGAAGGAAGGCGGTCACCTGCCACTTGCCAGGGTTCACACAATATCCAAACCAAGGACAGGTAGTCTGCTTAGTGACCATTTGAAGTTACAACGGCACTGAAAAAAGTGATGTGTGACCGTTTTTCACACTTATGACGGTTGCCGCGTCCCCATGTTTGTGTGATTTACATTCAGATGCATGACCACTGGTTCATATTTACGACGGTTGCCGTGTCCCTGGGGTCATGTGACCGTCTTTTGCCACCTTCTGACAAAGTCAACGGGGGAAGCCAGATTCACTTAACAATGGTGTCAATGGTGGGATTCAAATTACAGATAACAGATAATCAGAGTTGGAAGGGACCTTATAGGTCATCTAGCCCAACCCCCCGCACAAGTGGGAGACCCTACACTATTTCTGACAACTGGCAGTCCAATCTCTTCTTGAAGGTCTCAAGTGGTGGCGCTCCCACAACTTCTAATTTTTTTTTTACTACCAGTTCTATGGGCATGGCTTGGTGGGCGTGGCAGGGGAAAGTTACTGCAAGATCCCATTCCCTCCCCACCCCACTAACCTGCTTTCCAGCTCAGTTCTCCTGTGCAGGGCAACCAAAGAAGACCCAGCCGATCAGCTGGGACTCAGGAAGCAGAGAATAGATGGGAGAGGGGCCAGTCAGAGGTGGTACTTGCTGGTTCTCCAAAACTACTCAAAATTTCCACTACTGGTTCTCCAGAGCTGGTTAGAACCTGCTAAATACCACCTCTCATACCCACAAGTCACTTTTTTTTCAGTGCTGTTGTAACTACAAGTGGCCCCCAAGCAAATGGTTGCAAATCAAGGACTATAATTCATGTGGTTGTTAAGCAGCCTATCACATGACCAGACTTGATTTTACGGCCGTTTTAATGATGGCATAAAGTGAGTCACCTTGGTTATTAAGCAAGGCCTGTTGGCAAAACCGGATCTTCAAGGCTTTGCAAAAGAGTCTAAAATTGGGGGCCTGTCTAATCTCTCCAGAGATGATATTTCCAAAGGGAAGGAGCCACCACGGAGAAGGCCCTTCTTCTGGGTCCTGCCAGATGTAGCTCCTTAGGAGACGGGTTGAGGGGATGTAACTGGGAAAAGACGGTCCTTCAGATTAGCCGGTCCCAAACCATGAAGGGCTTTAACCAGCCCCTTGATTTGCACCTGGAAGCAAATCGACAGCTAATGGAACTCATGTTAGGAGGGGTGACTTAGGTGCACACCTGGGTTTCTTCAAAACCATGTGGGCTGCTTCGTTTTGAACCAATTGGAGCTTCCAGGTGCTTTTCAAGGGCAGCCCCATGTACAGCACATTGCAATAGTCAAGATGAGAGGTAACTAAGGCGTGAGTAACCATGAGAAGGGATTATTGGTCCAGGAAAGGGTGCAACTGTCTCATAACCCAGAGTTGTGCAGAGGTCCTCCTGGCCAGACACAGGAGCAGCAGCAGTCACAACTTTGAGGCTGGATTGTAAATGACATTTTTGAAGTCAGTTGTAACTTTGAACAGTTGTTAGCAACCAGTAATAAGTCAAGAACTACCTGGGCTTGTGTATAAATTATCCTTTAGTCAAATGTACTGAGGGGAAAAAAGCTGATTTCCTGAACAGGGAATTCATACTACATTTATGTGGTCCTTATCCAAGGGACGCGGTGGCTCAGTGGCTAAGACGCTGAGCTTGTGGATCAGAAAAGTCGGCAGTTCGAATCCCTAGCGCTGCGTAACGGAGTGAGCTCCCATTACTTGTCCCAGCTCCTGCCAACTTAGCAGTTCGAAAGCATGTAAAAATGCAAGTAGAGAGAAATAGGGACCACCTTTGCTGGGAAGATAACAGCGTTCCATGCGCCTTCTGTGTTTAGTCATGTCGGCCACATGACCACGGAGACGTCTTTGGACAGCGCTGACTCTTCGGCTTAGAAACGGAGATGTGCACCGCCCCCTAGAGTGGGAAATGACTGACACATATGTGCGAGGACAACCTTTACCTTATCCAAACTAAAGCCTGCTTTGTACAAGAAACACTTTAACTGTGTTTGCACAACATATTCAAGCAGGTTAAACATGTAGCTCAAAAAGTTAACCTTGGATGGTTTATGAGTGCAGTTGGGGTCATTGCTCATTTGGTAACTTTACACTTCAGTGAATTGCATAAAACTCAGAAAAACGGGTTCAGGAATAAAGTAGCTAAGCTTCATGTAGTGTGGATGTATTTAGAGAACTAGAATCCATAACGGGTTCATATGACACATTAACCTGAAACAGCTTACTTCATTCCAATTTTCTAGGATTGTCTATCAATAAAATTAGCTATGAGTTATTTATACAATGCATTAAACAAGAAACAGGTGGTCAATATTCGCTTCTATTTCTGCTAGAAAAATAAAACATTTGATGTTTTAAACTCACCACACGTCTGTTGTAGGGAAAAGGGAATATTAGGTATGTTTGCCATCTTGAGTTATTTATAAAAATTATACAGCAGGGATTTTAAAAAAATCTAAACTAACTAAATAAATAACCTGAGAACTGGAGAAAATCATGTCCCCCGTTGATCCTAATAATTTCTAGGACATTCCATTGCAGAAGCAAATACAAACTATGATGGAGACTTTTCATGGTGCTGACAGGCTCATGTTTTAACCTACGATTCCCTGAATCCAATTATCTAGCTTTTCTCCAGACACTGGATGTGTTCACTCAACACACTGAATGCTAATCTCAGATTAACCAACATTGCTTCATTCATACAAAGCCTTATGCTGAAAAAATACAGTATAAAAATGATTTTTTAAAAAACTTGATGCCATCCCATATATTGCATTAATATGGTAGTCTGGTTCTCACAATTTGCCAACATAATGGTTGGATTCATGTGACTGCACAAATCACCCAACCTGTCAATCATTAATCTAGTATTTCTCCAAAGGTGGGTAACAATTAATATGGATGGATCATTCATATCTCGAAGGGAAAGTGTTCATATTCTGCAAATGCAGAAAGGAGATGGAATTCTGGAAAATGGCATCTTAGGGGAGAATGAAAATGGATTTTTAGGAGAGGGATGTCAAGTTAAATGACTGTCATGGAAAAAAATATATGTAGTCACTATCCCAAAGGCACTTTTTTCAAGAGGCAGCAGGACTTTCTGGTTTTTCGTTGTGCTTCTCATCCAAGAAGCTTCTTCAGGTTCTTGGGGGAATGCTCCAATGGCCAGAGCTGAAGAAGCTTCTTGGATGAGAAGCAAAATGTCTTCAAAGAAAAATCAGAAAGTCCAGTTGGTTCTTGAAAGAAAAGGAAAAAAAGCAACCATGGGACATGGTTTGGGACAACCATGACTTGGATGACTGAGAATCTCCACACGTCCATAGTCAGTAGGAATTGAAAACAACTTGGTGGAACGTAATAAAAAATGATTCATGTATAGTTTAATAATTATATTAGACATTTCACAGAGGCAGTGACAGAGCAAGAAACTGGTACTCTCAAAATAAAACTTACTTCTCATACCCATTATACATTTTTGGTGCTATGTCCCAAAGAATTCTACATGGTGTAAGGATGAAGGTTTGGGCTAGATGAGAAAGTTAGACTCAAATCTAAACCCTGGCCACAGAAGATACTGGTTTGTTCATGAGGTTTCTATCTGGCCTTTATTGCTTTTACAAGTAACTCAAGGCAAATATATCCAACACCCCTTCCTCCTCCTCCTATTTTTCCCACAAGAACAATCCTGTGAGGTGGATTGGGCTGAGTGAAAGGGACTGTCCCAAAGCCACTCAGCTGGTTGATCTGGGCCAGTTATTTTCCTGGCCCAACCTACCCCACTAGCTAGGCCTCTTTGGGCTCTGGAATGAAAGGCACAATATAAACAAAATCACATGCTTGTACGGAACTATATTAAACCGAATGGGGTTTATTCTGGAGTACACACATAAAAGAGATACAGAAAATGAAAAAAAAAAAAAGTTTTCCAGCGAGTACAAGAACATTTATTTATTTAATTACACATATAAGGCCACCCAACTCTGTGTCTACTCTG